TACGCCACGGTTGTCTACCTCTCGAGTGACGCCAGAAAGGGGTACGATGGCGAAGGGCGGTGGTCAACTCGGGCTGCTCCTACACGACCCTCGTGGAGTACCAAGACGGAGTGCTCCTCATGATGACCGCCTGCAAAGATGGGGCGCGCCGGGTGTTCTTGTCGAAGAATTTGGGGGAGACGTGGGTGGAGGCCCTCGGGACCCTCTCGCGCGTGTGGGGCAACTCGCCGAAGCGCACCGGGTACGGCGACCAGAGCGGCCTTGCGGCTGCGACGATCAATGGGAAAAGAGTGCTCCTGTTCACGCACCCGGTGTTTCCCCAAAGCAGTTCGTACGCCAACCAGATCCACCTCTGGCTTTCCGATGGTGCCCGCATATTCGACGTGGGCCCGATTTCCCCCGAGAGCCGCTTCAGTGCGACCTCCAGCACGCTGCTGTACGCAAACGACAAGTTGTTTTCGCTCTACGAACGAAAGGAGGTCAAAACGCAACGCTTTGTGCTTGTGCGTCTGGACGACCAGCTGGAGCGCATAAAGGAGGTGCTGGCGCAGTGGGAGAAGCTTGAAACGGCCTTCTCCAGGCTCTGCGCATACTTGGGTGCGGCTGGGGTCTGCGACAGTTCCGTTCGCAGTGTCGGGATTTTGTCCAATACGGGCTCCGCCAGCCACTGGAACGACGAGTACCTCTGCGTGGACGCAGCGGTGAGTGGCGCGACGAAGGTCACGAACGGCTTTATGTTCAGCGGGGCCAATTCGTGGGCCCAGTGGCCCGTGGGCGCGCAGGGGCAGAACCAGCGGTACCACTTCGCAAACTACAAGTTTGCTCTTCTGGCGGCAGTGACCGTCAATGACCCGACGGGCGGAGCCTCCGTGCTCGGTGTGAAGTTCAACGGCACCGACGGTGCGGGCAACCGCCTTGGATTGCTCTGCAGCGGTGACAACAAGTGGGTGGTGAGGAGCCGGACTGAGGAGGCGGCGGCGCAGGGCGCCACGTGTGAGCCCAATAAGCAATACTACGTGTTTCTCATGCTCGATGACGGCAGGTTTTCCTTCTACGTCAACGGCGCGCCACTGAAGATTGCGGGTGCGGATGCCGCGGCGCTGGCGAAGAAGGACAGCGAGGAGATCGCGCACTTTTTACTTTGGGGCGGACGACGGCATGAGTGGTGTTGACGGCAGCGTGACCGTGACGAACGTCTTTCTGATGAGCCGCCCAGAGCAGGTCCCTGAATCCGACACACCCAACAACGGTGCCGGGTCAGGCGCCAATAAGCTGGACAGCTCCATACGTGCGCATGGATCTCGCGTGCTCTTGCTGCTCCTGGGGCTGTGGGGGCTTGCGGCTTTTTGCTGAGCCAAATAAAGCGTTGCTCTGACTTCCACTGGGAACGTGTGTGCGGCCCGTCCACACAGGCGAAAATAATATGTGCGTCCTTCGTGGGGGTTTGATGCGTTCATGTAGTATTTCCCTTCCTTTTCTTTCTGTGCGTGGATGCACGCGCTCTCTCTCCCCCTTCAGGGGTTGGCGCCGTCCGCTTTCGTTTTTGAATGCCCCTTGCTTTTCTTATATCAATTGCCTTTGAATTACTTTCCCCGTGGAGGTCGCGATGGCCTCAGTGTTTGCTGCTGTCGATCACACTCCCCAACTGCAGTGCGTGCCACGCCGATGAAGAAAAAAAATGAGGACTGCGGGGAGCAGCAGCAGGACGGTGAAGTTCCCAATGAAGTGTAAACGATGTTTGCACCTGCGGAGGTTCAGTGAGAGGTGAAGCAGGTGCATCCTTCCCCCGCAGGTAATGTACACAATTTTGTGAGGTCACCTGCCTATACGTCTTTTTTTTCTTTTGGTGGGGGTGGGGGTTTGGGCTCTTTTTTTTGTTGGTATGTCTGGAGGGAGAACGTTTTTTCTTTTTCCTTCTTT